AGAAGAATCTACTTTTAGCAGATAGTGAAGTCTGACTTGCTATATGTGTTAACATAATTGTTCATTTATTTATAAGACACATAGTGACCTATAAGTTAGGGTCCATGCAAGGCATTGGGGGAGCCCTTCCCGGGGTGTTCAAAATCCATGAGGAATACGGACAAGAGCTGCTAGAGGGGTGCACTCTAGGGGTTGGGAGATGCCAGAGCCTGGTTGGACCATACTCTGTAGGCCATGTATGAAGAAGAGAGAGCACAGTTCAAGGAACTGGGTGACACATCTTTCGTTACTAAATTTCACGAACTTTATGGGCCCGGCTCTCCTTTACTTAAAGATGGGATTCATGTCAAAAATAGACCTAGAAATAGGACTTATACAGAGTCAAAGTAGTACAATCTAGTTCTTATTTTAGGATGTATAAAAACCTCAATCTAAAAAATGCCCCTATGTTTAATGCGATAAAAAAATCAGTTTCTTAAAAAATAAAGTATTTAAACCTGATATGAAAGGCATAGCAAAGTGAGAGTCTGGCCTGTTGATATTCACTTTATAACCAAACCCTCAGTTAGTCTGTCCCATAAATTTCAACATAAGAGATAAAATTTCTAAGAAAAAAAAAATGCTGGAATTCAGACTGTGTTCAGAGTGTGCTTTTGTACAAAGCCGAACTGCCCTATCCATTCTTAAAAGGTAATTCCCAAATGCATGTGAAGTGTACCACAGAATTGCAGGACTATTAGACAGTTTTATTTCTACCTCATAAAAATATTTCAAAACCTGCGGGAGTTTTATGAAACCAGCATTCATCAATCCTTATCATTCCTGATTTTGAGGCCCATGAGATGCATCTCAGAGCAATTAGAGATGTTAATTTTGAAGCAGACTGTCACATGATAAATGCTTCATTATCTGTGGGTGATAGACCGTTTAAAACTTTATCTCTTTCCAAAATCTTTATTTTTATGTATATGTACGTGTATGTATTTGTGTGTCCATGTGTGTATAATAAATAGATAATGCATGCAAAACAAACTTTGAGACTAATACCTACACATTTTAAAAATGAAAGTTTATATTAAAAACTCAGTAGAAATGCCAGTCAGGACTTCCTTCCTCCTTTCTTCTCCTCTTTGTAGGAACGAAGCTGTCTGAGCCCTGAGCAGTCTTCCAGATACAATGCACAGTGTGCTTGATAATTTTTCTCCCAAATCCCTCAGTTGGTCTCTTTTTCCTCAAATGTCAGTATTTCTTCCTCTATCTCCAAATAGAAATTAAAATAAAAACATTCTCAATTGTATTTTCTTTTTCTTATTTATCTCTGACTTGACAAATTCAACTCCTTTGAGATATTTGGCTCTAGATGCCCCTGATGCTGCTGAAACCTCCCTCTACCCTCAAATCAATCTGTGTGGTCCTTTCCAGGTGTCTTCTGTGGTCAGGGAAGACCTATCTAAAGAACCTGGTCAGGGCACATGGCCTGGGCCCTGTGGGAGAAATTAACAACCAGACAGCCTGGGGACTCATCAGGATTTTAAGGAGAGAGGGACACAGAAATGCAGCAAAGGTCATTTGTTTTGATCGCTTCCTCACCCAAATCTGACTTCTTAAAAGAATTAAAAGTAGTTCCTTCTTAGATTCAGTATGTTTATTAGTTGCATGGGGTGTGTATGTGTGTGTGTATATATACATTTGCATCAGTTGAAAAAGTGAACAGTTACGAACTTGGAGATTGAGGGTGTTTCCTGGAGAGAGCTTCAGAAGATCCAGCTAGTCTAATTTGTGACCATGTGTCAAAATTCAGGGAAGGTCAGTTTTTTTCTGAGAAAGAGTTATGTGGAAGTCTGAGGTTGGGCAAGAAAACATGAAAATTAGCACATGTAATAGGGACTCCTTAACACCTTCTATCTCATCCTTTTCTTTTCTTTTTTTTTTTTTTCCCATGGTGTCTCAGTCTTATCACTAGGCTGGAGTGCAATGGCATGATCTTGGCTCACTGCAACCTCCACCTCCCGGGTTCAAGCAATTCTCCTGCGTCAGCCTCCCGAGTACAGGTGCGCACCACTATGCCCAGCTAATTTTTGTATTTTTAGTACAGACAGGGTTTCGTCATGTTGGCCAGGATGGTCTTGATCTCTTGACCTCATGATCTGCCTGCCTCGGCCTCCCAAAGAGCTGGGATTACAGGTGTGAGCCACCACGTCTGGCCTCATCTTTTTCTTGGAAGTGTAAGTGTTCCTGCTGGCATCACTTTGCTTTTTATTGTTGAAGGACATATGCATCCTTTTTTCTGCCCCTGTGACCACCTTGCCTTTTACTCCTGTTCAACAATTTACCCGCAACCTATTGGTTATGCTTAAAAAGAATCATATGTAATGGAAGAATGAATACAGACTTCTAATACAGGACAGAAACCAGAAGGAGTATAATAGCTGTCCTTGGTGTTTTTGTTGGAAATGTTTGATTGAATATTAAAGTAGAGAGAAAATGAGAGGAGATTTGGGCAGAGTATTGGGGGAATAAAAGTAGGTAAACTCAATTATCAAAATATATTTAGAGCATGGACTTCATTTATTGTCAGCAAAGACCATCCATCATAGATACCCTTTCTTTTCCAATTAATAAAAAACTAACACTTACTTTCAGCTTTGCAGGTTGTGAGGCTGTTTTAAATCTGATTAAGAAAGTTCCCTTTTTACAGAATAGGAAGCTGAACCACTGAGAAATTAAATGCCTTCCATGGAAAAGTTTATTTCAGTGATGGGTGAGCTGGAACCAACTTCTGCCATTACTTGTTCCCATGACTTTTTCTCTGTTCCATGTCCTGAGAATTATTTCTCTGGTCTTAGTTACTCATTCCTCAGAGAAATTTCTTCCAGGGTGTGCATGTGTATGGGCTACATGTGAGAGAAAAGGCTGCACCTTCACAAAATCGTGAATCAAATACCCAGCACTGGTAAGTGCAGAGGAATCAATTACAAGAAATCGAAGTTAGCAAGTTCTTCTCCTTTGGAAAATGTTTTGTGTTTATTGTGTAACAGTCAAGTATGAAATGAAATAATACAAGCCGTAGGTGGATGGACAGAGCAGGGTGGAGTCGACGTGAGGATGGAAGAGCCAGCCCTATCTGCCCTGCACTGCCCTTCCAGAAGTCCCTGTGTCGGAAGGAATGTGTTCTGCATTTCTTGGTGTGCAGGGATCCACTTAAATGCCATTCCCTTGACTCATGTGAGCCTCTGCTTCCTGATCTGTGGCCCCTCGTGTGCTCTGTGAGCAGCTCATTGTCCCTTCACCTGTCATACCCTGACTACAGTTATGTGTCTTTCCTTCCCAAGAAGCTGTCTGTCCTTTTTATGGTTATGCTTGTGGGTACCTGGCACATTGTAGGTAGGGATGAATGGACACTTGTTGCATGGACTCTCAAGACTCTTAGGAAAGCATAGAACTCAAGTTTCAGAATAACTTTCCTGTTACTGGAGGTACTATTTGAAGGAATAATGAGAAGCACATAGTCACCATAGTCAAGAGCTTGCCTTTCCTCTGATAATCTCATCACTTCCTCAGCATTTCACTGCCTGATCCACATTTGATGAAAGGGACTCAATTCCTTTATTTTCCTTTCTTGCTGAAAATTCTTGTCCACATGAGTCATTATGAAAGCAGAAACCTTGTAGTCATTCTCGCAAGGATATGTCAATGTGCTAACATTTGTGCCAGGTACCGGAGCAAGAAACACTCAAGGCTACCCCTTGTTGGAGAGTCCAGTGTCTAATGGGAAGCCAGTGAGAGGTGCCTAAGGTGTCACGGGGGATGGGCACAGATATGAGATGCTGCTTCAGGGATGGTGGTGGTGGCAGCATCTTGAAGGGGATTGTGCCTTAATCCCCAATGTAATGGTATTGAAGGTGAGGGCTTTGTGAGGTGATTACAGGTACTAAGGGAGGAGTCCTCATGAATTGGATTAGTGTCCTGGTAGAAGAGGCTCTAGAGTGCTCTCTCGCATCTTCTACCACCTAAGAACACAGCAAAAAAACACCATCTAGGAATCAGGAAGGAGGGCCTCCCCAGACAGCAAACCTCCTTCCTGCACTTTGACCTTGGGCTTTCAGCCCCCAGAACTGTGAGAAATAAATTTCTGTGGTTTATAAGCCACCCAGCCTATGATGTTCTATCAGCCCAAACAGACTAGGAGAGTATAGTAGCTTTTAAGGGCAACTGGATCAAGGGGAAGAAGTACTTTCTTTACTTGTTAAAGATGTCAGCAACTGGCCAGGCATGGTGGCTCATGCCTGTAATCCCAGAACTTTGGGAGGCCAAGACGGGCAGATCACCTGAGGTCAGGAGTTTGAGACGAGCCTGACCAACATGGTGATACCTCGTCTCTACTAAAAATACAAATATTAGCTGGGTGTGGTGGCATGCATCTGTAGTCCCAGCTACTTGGGAGGCTGAGGCAGGAGAATCACTTGAACCCAGGAGGAGGAGAAGGTTGTAGTGAGCTGAGATCACACCGTTGCATTCCAGCCTGGTGACAGAGAGAGACTCCATCTCAAAAAATAAAATGAAAAAAAGATATCCGCAACTTAAGCATTTTTATAGGCAGGGCAGAGGGGACCAATAAAAAGAGAATAGGACATCCTAGTGTGAGGGGAGGGTTGGGCTCAGGAAGGAGGAAGCACACCTTCTTGGATACTGGAAGGGAAGGTATTGCTGATGAAAACTCCGAAGGGAGAAGAGGTTCATGGAGGATGCTTCATCACTGGGTTTGAGCTTTTCAACACAATTGGTGGGGAAGACATCTGCACAGAATCAGAAAAATAATGAATGCAGCCATGGTACCTTAGGGCTCTGGAAAAGGCGCCGCACCTGGCCCTCAGGGAAGCTGATCTGAGAGGCATGCAGGGCGTCTCAGTGTGGGGAGCTGTGTAGAGATATGTCTGGAGGCAGTGAGTCTTACTTCCTGACTTTGTAGCCCTGCAGCTCAACAGCCTCAGCGAGGGTTAGCTCCCTGCAATTTGCTTTCCAGGTACTGCTCTCTGGTGTTTAGACTTCCACAATGGGGAAGATAAAAGAGATACATTTTGGCTGGGTACAGTGGCTCACATCTGTAGTCCCAGCACTTTGGAAGGCCAAGGTGGGCGGATCATGAGGTGAGGAGATAGAGACCATCCTGGCTAACACGGTAAACCCCATCTCTACTAAATATACAAAAAATTAGCTAGGCATGGTGGCATGCACCTGTAGTCCCAGCTACTTGGGAGGCTGAGGCAGCAGAATCACTTGATCCCAGGAGGCGGAGGTTGCAGTGAGCTGAGATCATGCCACTTCATTCCAGCCTGGGTGACAGAGAGAGACTCTGTCTCAAAACAAACAAACAAACAAACAAACAAAAAAAACACCAAAAAGAAATACATTTTAATTTTCATTTCTAGGAAAATGAAGTGTGCAAAAATAAAATCACTTGCTCTATCCAGTGTATCATTTGCTTTTCCAGCCTATCTTAGCAGTTAGAGAATGACTGCTAAGCACACTTGACTCATTCATTTGTAGATTTCATTGTAAGCCCAGTTGACAACCCATCTTTAAAAAAAAACAAATTTTGAGAGAAAAGTGATTTCTTGACTAAATTCAGCTTTCGGAAGGGATCAGTGATTGCATTGATGGTGATTGAGAGGGTTAATATATAGACATTTTCTTCTTGGCATGTGAGAGACATGTTTGTGTTGGTGGGAGCAGCAAGTGTGTGTGGAAGGAGAGCTGGAGTCCCAGGCCACCATGCTGCTTGGGCTGGTAACATGTATTTCCCAAGTTCTGCTCTGCCAGGCTGAGTACAATGTGTTGATAACTGACATCTGTGCTTCTATCAAATTAAACCTGAAGTGTCTGTCTCTTTTCATTTCAAATAACTTTGCTCTTTCTTCACTTATGCCATTTAAAGTAAGATTTGCACCAAAGTATTAAAATGTATTTAATGTAATCCTTAGTAATGTGAACATGTGCATTACAATCTTCCCTTTAATCATCTCTTTAAGTCTTTGGTAATGTGTACTGTGGCACTGGAAATCTTTCAGTTGACTATCTTTAATCTTTATCAGTTTTTCAGTTCGTTAGTCTGTTTAATCCCTTATGCCATTTTTACCCTTCTTATGCCATTTAAACCATCAATTAATAAATATTGAGAAATACAATTGTTATAATTATTATTATATTGAATTCAGAAGAGTGACACATGTTTAATATTACATTCTATAAAAAATCCTAAGCTTAATTTCAGGAAAGATTTAGTTTTATTCTTATAAGTATGTACAATTAGTCAAAACTCCCCCCACCCCAGTCCCTTATCAAAATCAATGTTTATAAACCAGCAGGGTGAGTTTTTTGTCTGCCTACTATGCTTATATGTCCATGGGCAGGAATGATAACAGGAATAACTCATCCATCCAGCTGGACTTGGGGACGTTTCTAAATGTTTGATAGAGATCCTGCTATTCACGCAGCTGTGAAATGACTTGGCTAACTGACCTCTTTTCTTTAGGAACCGTGGAGCACGCAACACATCCCGGCACTGTTTTCTGCCTTCTGTGGCCTCTTGGTCGCCCTTTCCTACCATCTGAGCCGGCAGAGCAGTGACCCATCTGTGCTCATGTGAGTGATCTGTGCCTGTGCTCTGTCATCACTGAGCAGGGGGTTGCAGTTCCCAAAGCTTTGTGCCCGGAATGAGGTGGGGAGAGGGCAATTCACTGCCCACTGTGATTTGACTGTCATTATTAAACTAGTGGTCACTCACTAGAGGACGGTAGGAGAAATACAGGACCAGCCAGAAACTAGTAACAATTAAAAGTGAACATCCAGCAAACATTTTAGCTTTGCTCTTTTGATTTTGGAGTAAAATGAACAATGGCAGGAACAGATGGCCAATAGCACTCACTCCCTGTTGTGACTTTCCCTTGAGTGAGTTGGGTGAGAAGCTACCACCTCAACAATACCCTTTCTAGATCCTGTAAGCTGCATCCCTGCATTTACTCTAGGCAGTTACCCTGCAGAGACTAAACCAGCACCTCTGAAAGAAAGGTTTTTGTTTTATTTTATTGTTTTTTTTGTTGTTCTCAATCTGGATTTAAAGTGAGATTTGCACCAAAGTGTTAAAATGTATGTAATGTGATAGTAACATGAAAGTATACATTAAAATCTTCCCTTTAATCATATCTTTATGTCTTTGGTAACGTGTACTCTGGCACTGGAAATCGTTCATGTGATGCCAAAGTGAGTTTCAGATATTGACAGTAGCATCTTATGTAATGTGTTTAAATTTATGAAAGATTTTGATTGAAGAGAACCATAACTCTTGGAGGACAAGAGACACCATAATTTTAGGCTATTAGATACAGCAGTATGAAAGGCCTGAAAAATGGGGAAAAGTTAAACATGGTTCTTACCATTTTTAGTGTCAATTGTGTTACTGTAATGTGCACTTTCTGCTGCTAACTGTTTGTGAAGATGAAGCCCTAGTGGGCTGGCAGAGATGGAGGACCTTCCCCATGTCCCACTGCTGACAGTAGAGGGCGAAGATACTGCTAAAGTACTTGACTGCTCTCATTAGGGTGAAATTTACAAATCGAAACGCTATCTTTATGATCACTTGAACATGCACCTCTTTTTATTATGTGTGTGTGTGTGTGTGTGTTTGTGTGTGTGTGTGTGTATTTTCTTTTTGAGGTGGAGTCTCACTCTGTTGCCCAGGCTGGCATGCAGTGGCATGGTCTCAGCTCACTGCAACTTCTGCCTCCCAGGTTCAAGTGATTCTCCTGCCTCAGCCTTCCGAGTAGCTGGGATTACAGGCGCATGCCACCACACCCAGCTAATTTTTGTATTTTCAGTAGAGATGGGGTTTCACCATGTTGGCCAGGCTGGTCTCGAACTCCTGACCTTGTGATTCACCTGCCTTGGCTTCCCAAAGTGCTGAGATTATAGGCGTGAGCCACCACACCCAGCCTATTATAAATTTTTAAATGAAGAGAGCACTTGCTTTTGTCATGTGTGGGTATGAGGTCTAAAGTGAAGTTATTTACTGAAAACACTGTCCCAAGAACACCTTTGATAAAGTGAAATCTATGTGTTTTTCCACTTTCAGGTCCTTCATGCAATGCAAACTGTTTCCTAAATTTTTACATCAAAATCTGGAAGAGTCATCTGCTGACCCTCTCCCCAAGAAGATGAAAGATTCAGTGGTGAGACATTTGCATTGTGTAATGTAGTATAGGAGGGCCTTACCTTTTCAGCAGAGCTCAGGCTCTCAATGGGGCTCTAGGCAGGTGGACATGAGAAGGACTAGGACAGAAAGAGACACCTCAGCTTGGTACCTGACACACTGGGCTGTTGAGCTGCCTGCCAGGTGCAGCCCTTTAGAGCATCTTAATGGTGGCTGTTATGCACACATTCATGGGCGCTCAGGTGGCCCTCAGGTGGCTGCAGTTTGACAAGATTGTCACATGAATCACATTCAGTCAGTTTTGCCTAATTACTGGCACCAAACAGCAGGTGGGCTCCGCACAAATGAAAGCTTGTCAGATAAATGTTTAGCCAACCTGCCTTCCTGATGTGGTCCACACAGCTCTCCTCCACATCTTCTCCCCTCAGTGCCATGCTTGGTTCAGAGCACTCTTTCAAAGTTGATGTCTGCACAGCCATTGCTTGGGGCCCTTGGGCTTTAGGCTTCTGGCTGGGTCACAGAGTAGGGAACAACCACACTGGGTGAAGCATGGGAGAAGAAAAGGAAGGAGAGGAAGGAAGAAATGAGAATCCTACAACTGCAAAATAATGATATCATTTCCTTATTCACCAGGAAAATGGCTCTGGGCAGCTTCAAACATTCTTTTTGCAGATGTAGTTTCTTTGATATCAACTTACAAACATTCATACTTTGAAAAGCGATGCTCATTAATTGTGGAAGCTCCCATACATCTGAATATTGAGCTTGGAGCTGTCTGATGTCCTTGACTCACACTTTTCCTGGTTTTCTTAGGAATGACAGATAAAAGGAAAAGGGAATAGTCTGTTGATCCAGCCAGGACTGTGTCTCATTTGTCTTGATATCCACAGAGCCAATGCCTGGTGTTCTAGTTGGTGCTCGGTACAGTTCATGGAATTTAGACAAGTTGAATTGCAGTCTGCCATTTCGCAACAATGTACAGGACTCAACAGCCAATATGATAGCCTTTAAAAAAATTCATACTTAGTTTTTGTGCCTTTGAGTGTGGTCACAATTCAAGCTAATATACTGAGGCTTTTTTTTTTTTTCCACCACAAGGGAATTAAAGGACAAATCACTTAATATGAGTAAGGGCAGAGATACATTTAAAAGCAGGTTAAAAGTTGAAGCAGCTGGGCCTGCTGAGATGGCAACTAAAAAAAAAGAGAAATATCTGACATAAGCCTGGCATCCTCAAGCTGACCTCTAGTATTTATACCAGGAGACTTGCAGGGAGAAGGTCAAACTGACATTCCCACAACATTTTCTGTAAAAGCCATAGGGTGGCCCAGAGTATACCCAAAAGTCTCCTGGTGGCTATCTGAGAAAAACTATGCCCTTCAGTCTTCCTTGATTTCATGACTAATGAGGATGCATCTCTATTTTCTGATTTATTGCAGTTAAAAATAATGTAGGAATTACAAAGAAATTTGACAAGAAATGTGCCCAGCAGATGTTGATAGTATTTCATTGGTATAATTAGGTGTGATGGGCTAGGTTTTGCCTCCCTTGGTTTTCATACCCTTTGAAATGCCCTGTACAGTGTGGAGCACATAGCTTGTTAGGTGATTTAATAAGATGTTTGTGTTCGTTTCTCTGAAAAGTCTCTGGCCTCATTATAATATTTTAATGGGAATATCACATTCAGCTTTTAGAGTTTGATATATAAGACCTTCTGTGACACAGTACAAGCATAAAACCCCCTCATTATTGTGTCTGATTTAGTTTGTATCTCTCTCCACCTCTTATTTTCTCTGTCAGTCCCTCTCTCTCTCTCTTTTCTTAAATTTTAGTTTGTATGAGAAGCCCTTAGGGAGCCTCATTTGGTTTCAGTTTT